GGGCTGCAGCTCCGTGCCAAACCCAGACTGAAGGACCATCATCTCCACATCTCCCAAGATGGATGCGCTCCTCATCCATCACGGCCTCCTCCTCGTCTCTGGAGTGAGTGAAGCCGTATTGAAAACATATGCCCTCCAGAATTCCTCCCGGATCCTCCCATCCCGTCCGATCCCAGCAGTCCTCGGCTGGGATACTGTAAGGGGTGGTCGTCGGGGGGGGCTCCCGGCTTCCTGTCGTAGAGCTAAATATTTACACTCCCAGTGGTCCCGAGTGGCAGAGCGGAGAAGTCTTGATGTTTCGGGTTATGAAAAGTGTAATATTTAACAGAACGTCGTCACCGGGGCGACTCTTTCAACATGTTTGCCTCACAGAAAATCTTCTGATACAAACAGGAACACAAAGGAAGATTTAGACTTTCAGATGGCTTATTTACAGCACTGTTACAACCAAAACCCATGGGTCCATAGGGTCTAAACGCACCGAACAGATGATTATTTCCACCGTACACGTCGCATCAGTCCAAATATGTCTAATAAAGTGGAAAAATCCATAAATACGTCGCTTCGCCGTACAAGTCGCATCTATTATGCGTCACCGCTGACAACTTGTAAATGTGGATCGAACCCGGAAATGTGGGCCGGTGTTGTGCCAAAAATTGTTTGGCTGCCAAATGGTGGCCGCGTAAGTGTGCATGGGAGGACTTCAACAAGAATTTAACAAGATTAACACTTAAAAACAATTATTTGTTTGCTTGACATTATAGTAAAGGTGTGTCTCAGTTGAACTTTTACTTAATAAATGCACTTTAATGGTCAAATCAGCTGCATTTTGCCGAGGCGGTACAGCGAAATTAAGCTGATTTGACGGTTGCTCCAGGCGAGCTGGACAAAGGTGGCAGGCTATAGCAAGCCGACTGTGTCATTAATATCCACTTTTACCTACTACTAGGCCTGTCACGATAACACATTTTGCTGGGCGATTAATTGTCTCAGAAATTATTGCGATAAACGATAATATTGTTTGAACTTTGACAATAATTAGTAATTATTGTCAAATTTAAGGAGAAATGTTTGTTAATTTGTACAGTAGTATCTTTGGTCAACCACCGGATGGCAATATAAGACTGAACCGAAGGATGGATAGTGAGGGAGCGAGCAGCGTGTCTCCAAGAAAAATGGGAGGGAGGCCCCTTGACGTGACATGGGCTGTCTTTCTTCGGTTCTCAAAACGGCAGAGGTGTGGTTTGAGCTGTTTAGCATAGCATTTTTCATACAAAGCTTTTAATAAAAGAATCAGTAAACAAGTTCTCAGCTTCTTTTTGCAGAGCAAAAACAACTTTTTACACAAAGGCACGGGTTTCAACCGTGAATTTTGGAGCTTCGACAAGAAGGAGGTTTTTTTTCTCCCCGATGTCGGCCTGTTAGCTTAGCTCCTAGCTTAGTTGCTGTTAACAATCCAAAAACGCGATTTTGGATTGTTAAACTGGATTTTAAAGAGAAAAGAGAAAGGGAGTGGTCAGTGAAGAGCACCGGAGTTGAGCCTTGTGTCATCCGGTGTCTTCAGTAGAAAGAGAGAGACACGAAGGAACGATGAAGCCGATAAATGAAAATGAGGTTGATAATTTTCATTTATCATGCGATTAATTGATTTATTGTTTATTGCAGCAGGCCTACCTATTACATGACACAACGGCATGCCATACTAATCGAGTGCCATCTAGCGGCTGAAAATGGTAGTGTTCAGTCAGAATGAATGAAAACAGTCATATCTAAGCCAAAAATTTGTTTATAAATATGGGAAAAAAAATCCATAAATACGTTGCTTCGGCATATAAGTCGCAAGGTATGCAAATTATGCAAAAAAACGGGATTTATAGGTCGAAAAATATGGTAACTAGTTCTCTTACTTTTAATGCCAGCAGTGTTTAACCTGATAACTGAGCAGAAGTTAGCAAATCCTGCCATTTCTCTGACTTTCAACCAGAACAAAAACCCCACTTCCAAAGATCCAAACTATTCCTTTAGGCAAACTAACTGTGGCATAGAATGACAAATTATGAGTTTTATGCTATTAAGTGTCAGCTTTTGTTTACTATTCTTACTGGATAAAATGGTAAAATGTCAGCTATTAGCATCTTGTTTTTACAGAACAGAGTGACTGAAGATGCTACGAACAAACAAAGCAGAACCAACGTATGAAGATAAATTAGTTTTAAAAGTAAGCAAAATTATATTTTTTCTATAGTTTGTGCCACAAAAAAAACTGTGGACTGAACCACTGAAATAAACAAAAAATGGGGTGAGTTTAAAAAATGTCCACATGAAGAATAGCTATAATTATTTTTAAGGTGTTAATTTTAACCGTACATTTCACAAATTTAACATTTTTAGAATCCAATAACGTCCATGTCAGCATGTTTGTTTTAATGTACGGGTTATGATGAGCTACTGTGCCAAGTTACAAATGTGTCTTTTCCCAATAACTCAGGAAATCTAGCGAGGCTCAGACGTCCCAGCTTTTCACCACCCCTGAACGCAGCATTACCTTTGTGAATCTGGAGCGGTGAGAAAGTTTCAAAAGTCACATTAAAGCTGATCCGTGCACTCCTGTTGACTGATCCGTCCACAGATTTGTGCACGTGTATTTGACAAATTGTACGCGCAGAATATTCCTACTTTGCAAATCGAAATGACATTTGAAAAACTGTTTATGCGTTAGCAAATCTTGTAGCACGCATTTGTAAAGCATGCTCGTGGATCTTATCGGATGCATACAAATCTACGCGCTTGTGTGATACCGGTACTTTTGAGACTAATTTATCTTCATACAAACTGAGTATTTGCAGAGAGCAGCAGCGAGGACAAAACCAGCCTGTCCCACAAACACATCTGTTTACCTGCAGATGTTAGAGCCATTACACCGAGTATACGAGGTGAAGAGGAGGTAAAACGCTTCTCGGGCAGCCAGCTGACATGTGATATATTCGCTGCTTTGATTCAGTGCACGGAAGCAAAAAGTGTCATTTTTAGGAGCACAAACTAAACGTTTTAAAAAGTTATCGTTCAGTTTATCAAAGTTCATGCTCAATCATCCAGGTACCAATTCCATTAATGGTCATTCAGTCATTCTATCCGGAGGGCTTCGTCAGTCTGAGGAGTCCCAAGGGAACTGTTTTCCCCACTAAGCAGTACCCTTCTTTAGTGGACCAACCAGTCTGCTAGTGAGAAGATGGTTTCTGGGGGCTGTCCTGTCCCCCGTCGACCCCGTTTGCTCTCCGGATAGAGGGTAAAGCGTCTTTCCAAAAAAATATATATATTTTTTTTTTTTAACTGTCCAGATGACCTGAATGACCATTATTGGATTTTGTACCTGGATGATTGAGCATGAACTTTGATGTCTTGAACCACTTTGGCTGTGGCTGCCTGCCTGGGAGGAGTCAATGGGGGACAGGACAGCCCCCAGAAACCATCTTACCACCAGCAAACTGGTTGGTCCACTAAAGGAGTGCACTGCTTAGTGGGGAAAACTGTTTACTTGGGACTCCTCAGACTGATGAAGCCCTCTGGATACAGAGTGAAATGTCTTTCCACAAAAAAAAAAAACTGTCCAGATGACCTGAATGACCATTATTGGATGATTCAGTTTAGTTTGCAGCTTGTTCACTGATGTGACGGCTTCAACCCAAGAAATTATTTGTTAATTTTCAACTATTTGTTGAAAAGACATGAAGGTTTGACACCAGCATGAGTTTCTGCTACTTTAACTGTTTTGAGACATGGAAGACCCTAATGAAGACAGTTTATGCTTCCCATCAGGTATTCCCATTGCCCGCTCACTACTACAACTCCACTAACATCTGTTTGTATTGTCCACTTTGATCATTTAACACTTTAAATTTACTGGAAACCCACAAAAATCTTTAAACAATCTTCAGTTCTTACTATAAACGGTGACTTTGTGCGTATTGATATTTTTATGACCTTATTTCTTCCTTGAAGATGATAACTCCCCATCAGGTTTTAAGCCTTTAATGCACTTGACTACTTACGGTGCAATTTTAGTCATTTGAACAATTTCCTGGCTCTTCTACTTTATATTTTAAAGGCTTTAGATCATTTTCTCGCTCACTGCCAGGAATGAGAAGCTGCATGGGCCGTGCGGTTTATTGCAAAGTTATCGTCATTGCGATATCGGTGAGCGCATAATCAGTACTGCATTACAGTCATGCAGATCACTTATGGCACGAATTAGAATAACTTGATTAAACATTCACTTTGATGCAACTCTAGGAGAAGCTTCTGTTAAAATCAGGCAAAGATCAAACAAACTGAAGCCTCACAGGAGCGGCTAAGCTGAGTCGTAATTAGATTTAATTTAAAGTACTTGAGAATATCATCAGGATTATCCTTCATTACATCACCTGGTAAGTAGCTACAGTAGCAAACAAGACTGAGGTCAGCTGAAAGGAAAGCAGTGAGGATTGTTACCTCGTTTACAATGGATTCAATTCATGCCACGAGAACATAAAACCCAGCCAGCGTTCACTTATTATTAAACACACGTGCCAATTTATACACTTTTGTATTGGATTTGTAGCCAAACCTTCCCGACGACGGTGAAACTCAGCCTGCGTGGAAAGATCCAGGGAAATCCCCTTCATAAATCACAGGTTTTGTTCCCGTTCTGAACAAAATCAACCATTTCTTACTCGAGGTTCAGATTTTCGAGATGCGGTGCACTTCTCTTAATCCATGGGGGGAAGCTCCAGTAAAAATAAATCATGTAAATAATCCCTGAGCTACAGTTTCCCTCTGATTAGAAGGAGATTCTGCAGGAGTCGGGTTTAATTCGTCAAGGATTTCAAAGAGACCAAACATGTGCTGCCCATCCAGTGAGCTCAACCAGTTCAGCACCAGTTATGGATGTATTCAGGGTATTATAAAAGTTAGTTTTGTGCGTTTACATTCCCATGAGGTTATTTAAGGTTCAGTAGACTGACCTGCGGGGCCCAGACCTCTGGAGGCCCCTCGGGGTTGCGAGGACCGGTTGCGGTTCTGCTGCCGACGTTTCCCGCCGGTGGAGCGGGCGGAGCGGATGTGCACCTCGCTGATTTTAAAGAACGCCACCATGAAAGGCTGCTTCTCCAGAGCGCCGTCCCGTCCTATAAGCCCCGCCTCCTTACAGCTGATGCTCTGCCCTGCTTCACAAAGGAAATGACAATAGTGAACAGGTGCGCAACATTACCTTTCCTCAAGATAGTTCTAATAGTCTGCGAGTTTTATTTTGTAAAAAAAAAGGAATAACAAACGAATGATGGTGTTTTTTTTAATTGTGCGAACGCCGAGTTAATATTCATACTAATCTTGTGTTTATTAATTTTTTTGCTTTTTTTGCCACCCGTATCAAAACCTTCAGCTCATTCAGGAGACGGGTGCTCAGACTTTTGGGCTTTGTAACGTTTTAAACACACTGACATCTCTTCAACCCCTTCAAAACCATTGTTCTCTAACACACTGATTATTTTTGTTTCCTGTGTTACTTTAGCTCCAAACTAGCATTTAAGTGCTTTTAGCTTTTAGCTGTCCTTTAGCTACTTTCAGTTTTTTTTTGCTGTTGTTCTGCTACTTTCAACTTTTAGAAAGCAGAGTGATAGATTTAGTAAGCCTCTTGTCACTTTTAGCTTTTAGGTAGCTTTTGATACTTCTGGTTTTCAGCTAGACTTTTGTAGATTTAAGATTTTAGCTAGACTTTAAAAACTTTTAGCTAGCCCTTTTTATACATGTACCTTTGAGCTAACCTTTTGAAACTTTTAGCTAGCCTTTTTAGTTTTATACGTGTACCTTTTAGATAGCTTTTTGATAGTTTTAGTTAGCCTCTTGTTACTTTTAGCTATTTGCTACTACAATTTTTTTTAAACCTGCTTTTTGCAGGTTTTAGCTTTTAGTTTACCTTTTGCAAATTTAGCTAGCCTCGTCATACATTTAGCTTCTAGCCAACTTTTTGATTCTTTTAGTTAGCCTCTTGTGGCTTTTAGCAAGCTTTTTGTTACTTCTGGTTTTAAACTAGCCTTTTGCAGATAACCATTTTAGCCTTTTAGATTTTAGCTAACCTTCTGCAACTTTTAGCCAGCTTTTTGATACATGTACCTTTTCATACATTTAGCTTCTAGACACCTATTTGATACTTTTAGTTAGCTTCTAATTACTTCTAGCTTTCAGCAAGCCTTTTGCTATATTTAAACTTAAACTTGCCTTTTACTACTTTTAGCTTCTAGCCAACCTTTTGCTACTTTTAGCTTCAAGCTAGCCTTTTGCTACTTTTAGATTCTGGCTAGCCTTTTAATATATTTTACAGCTTTTAGTTTTTTTTGGCTATTTTTGCTACATTTATCTGGTCTTTTGTTACTTTCAGCTAAGCTTTTGCTTTTAATTTCTAGCTATAGCTTTGCCACATGTAGCTCTTAAATGACTTTTAGCTTATACTGTAACTAGCATTTTGCTTCCCAAAATTTTAGCTACTATTTTGTCGTTTTAGCATTTAGCTTCTGTTCTACTTCTTTTAGCTTGAACAGCAGTTTCAGCTTCTTCAGCAGAACCATTCTTGGTGTTGTGTAATGTCTTTAGCTTATCGAGAAGCCCTCGTAGGGACGCTCACCGCTGCTGGTCTCCACGCCGACCTGCAGACCCAGGTTGTGGACCGGACTCATCACCCACAGGTTGCTGGTCGCGGTGATGTCGAACTCCAACCAGCCCTCCTCGGTGGCCCAAAGTCTGCGAGACTCCAGCAGGAACAGATCCGCCTCTCTGAAGCAACACGACAACAAAAAAACAACACGGACTCAAACCTCATGAACGACGGAGATGTTCTCCTGTAACGACAGGAACATTAACGGAAACTGCCGGGACAGACCTTATTCTACTTCACTGTACATCTGACCTCCGAGTCTGCCTCTCTGAGGGTCCGAGAACAGGAAGGAAGTAAAAGTCTGGCATCAAGATGGACGTGTGTTAAGACCATTTGTGTGTGGAGGAGTCAGGAGGAATGTGTGGAGAAGAAGAAGAAGGAGAAGAAGTGTGACTTTTTAATGAGAAGAGAGCATGCGAGTGATAAGAGGGCCCCGTCCTCCTGATGTCCCTGGACAGGAGTAATAACACGGCAGCCGGACCGTCCTTCAGAACCGACATCAAAGCCTCGCAGTCGTCCAGGTGTTCGCCGAAAGCCCCTGCAGTCGTGCGTCTGCAGCCCCGCTTTATTGGTCTGCAACGAGAGCGGTCCTGACGGCGTCGCTGTCAGGTCAGCACGCAGAAGGTTCAGTTCCGTCATCACACGCTGCTCGAAGGGCAGCAGGAGTGCAGTACAGAGCCTGCAGTAGACGCAAATCAGCTGGAACAATAAGGTCAAAGGTCACAGAGGACTCCCTTTAAATGGCTTTGCTTTGCTCAGTGGGAGGCAGAAGATTCTTCTGTGAGTTTTACACGATGGTGATGATTGTTCGTATCTCTTGACAGAATGAATATGGAAGTTTAAGTCCTCGGTAAAAGTTGAACTCCAGGTGAGATGAGCCACAAAAAACAAAAGTAGAATTCTTTGAAGAAAAGCACATGGCTTATCGTCTTGCAGCTGAAAGTCTTAAAAGATCTCACGCAATCGGTTAGTGTTCAAAGTATGCACTGCGGATGACTCTCAGCTACTACCACACCAAATATGAGCACAATATTTGTAAAATTGGCTGAGTTATAGGTAATTTTGTGTTGGCTAATGCCAGTTAGCTTTGGCGATCATCCTGTGTTTGTAGCTGAACATCCAGTAATTACTTTCATTTACATCCAGCCACTGTTTCATGAGATTTTTTGCTAACAGACGGCCAAACAGACACAGGATGTTACAGTTACTTTCACCGTGGCGGGGATAATAAAAACCGCTGGTCAGAGGTTTCAGGAGCCGTCTCTCGTGTGAGGTCTGTCACTTTTCTGGTGTTGTGATCCCTCACATTCCTGACCCGCTGTTAGAGAAACCGCTCCAATCAAATGAGAAGCACAAAGGGTGTCAAGATAATTAAGCACCTTATCATTACGGCCCGGAGCCGAACCAGGAGTTGGGTTTTGACTCAGAGGAGGGGCGCCGGGAAGGTATTTGGCTTCCCGCAGATCGGTTGATTATTGAGCTACAGTTTACGGGGGGGTGGGGGGGATGAAAAAGCAAAATAAGAAGAAAATGCAGAGTGAACGCTGAATGACTGAAGGAGCTGAAACGGAGCTGTTAAAGTTGGAATGATCAAAACAAAGGCTAAACTTAGCTAAACAAAATATACAAGCTGAAAACAGTAACTACAAGCTGAGTTCAGCGAAACAGTAGCTACAAACTAACAGCCAAACCATAGCTACAAGCTAAGACCAGCAGAACAGTAGCTAAAAGCTAAGACCAGCAGAACAGTAGCTACAAGCTAAGACCAGCAGAACAGGAGCTACAAGCTAAGACCAGCAGAGCAGTAGCTAAAAGCTAAGACCAGCAGAACAGTAGCTACAAGCTAAGACCAGCAGAACAGGAGCTATAAGATAAAATCAGCAGAATAGGAGCTAAAAGCTAAGACCAGCAGAACAGTAGCTATAAGATCAAATCAGCAGAATAGGAACTAAAAGCTAAGACCAGCAGAACAGTAGCTATAAGATAAAATTAGCAGAATAGGAGCTAAACGTTAAGACCAGCAGAACAGAAACTAAAAGCTAAGACCAGCAGAATAGTAGCTATATGATAAAATCAGCAGAACAGGAGCTAAAATCTAAGACCAGCAGAACAAGAACTAAAAGCTAAGACCAGCATAATAGTAGCTATAAGATAAAATTAGCAGAATAGGAGCTAAGCGCTAAGACCAGCAGGACAAGAGCTATAAGATAAAATCAGCAGAACAGGAGCTAAAAGCTAAGACCAGCAAAACCATGGCAAAAAGCTAAAATAAGCAAAACTGTAGCTAAGAAGTTAAAACATGCAAAACATCAGTTAAGATCTAAAATTGTATTGAGCATGCTAAACGAGATTTCACAAAGCACAAAGGTTTTCAAATATTTTAAGCCTTTTTTTTATTAATTTCAATTAGAAAAAAATGTAAAATAAAGGTTAATATTTTAAAAAGCATAAAAATGACAAAGGACATAGTTGTGTTTTCTTGAACAAGCTGAACATTTTGATAGCATGAATGGTTAAAATAGCTGAAAGTATGCTGAAGTAGCTTACAAAGGAAACCACACTGCAACTTGCGTGTTTTCACACTCCAGGATGGGCAATGTCAGCTGTAATTATCTTCAAGGTGCAAAACGTAGTCTACAATAATGCAGAAATATGAGATATTTGGTCCCTTTCATCTCCAAATATCTTCAAAAATAAAAGGTCTAACCTTCAAACAGGAGCCCAAAAACCGCAGAATATAGAGACGAAGGAATGCAGCAAATAAGTAGCTCGATACTAAACGAACGTTTTGGCACAAACATACAGAATATATGTTGAATTTATACATTTCTGGTGCCTGCCATACAAAATCATAGCAATGAATGGTAGAGCAAACACAAAAACAGAAGATTGTTGTTTGGTTTACCTGTCGGGATGCTCCTTCACCACCTGGTAGACTTTGAGCAGGAAGGTGTCGTTGCGGAACGCCCCGCTCACGCACTCCTTGTAGAGGCGAAACTCGGCGGCGGTGACGGCCTCGCCCTCTGGGATCTGGGACAGGTTGAATTTAAACTCCTTGTGGTGACGGCGCTGCAGGGAGAGCTCCCTGTCGAACTCCACTAGGAGACGGAAACAAACAAGTTTACGTCAATTTCTGCTGAAGCATTTTAGTTAGGAACCTAACTTGCCTAACCTAAGATTATTTACGAACAAACACACAAACGCAACACTTGTTTGTTTGTTTTTTGCTCCCATTTTTCATGAGCTGAACTCAGAGATCTAATTTTAAGATGTACACAAACGGCCTTTTCTCTCAAATACTGTCCACAAATTTGTGTAAATCTGTGTTGGTGAGCGCTTCTCCTTTGCCAAAATAATCCATCCGCCTCACAGGTGTGGCATATCAAGGCGCTGATTAGACAGCATGATTGTTGTACAGGTGTGCTTTAGGGTGACCACAACAAAAGGCCACTCTAAAGTGAGCTCATGAAAAAATGGGAGCAAAAACCAAAGTGCTGTATTTATATTTGTGTTCAGTGTATTTACCCCATAGAGAGATACATGGAGATCTTTTCAATTCCTTCAATAACATCCTCTAAAACTGCTTCAGCTCTAGTTTTGTCTTCTCCTGGTACTTTAAGCTCTTAGCTAGTCTTTTGTTAACTTTAGCTTTTAGCTCTCATTCTGTTGCTTTTAGCTACAGTTTTACTGCTTTTAGCTACTGTTCTGCTACTTACAGCTTTTATGTATGGATCTGCCATCTTTATCTTTAAGCTAGCCCTTTGTTATTTTTGGCTATTGACCATCATTCTGCTGCTTTTACCTACCATTTGTCTGCTATTAGCAACCGCTTAGCTATCTTTGGCTTTTAGCTCCTGTTTTGCTGATTCTAGCTAATATTCTACATATTTGAGCTACTGTTCTGCTTCTTTTAGCTTTAGCATCTGTTGCTAACTTTAGCTACCAATTTATCTATTTAGTTTTTGCATTCGTTTCACTAATTTTAGCTACTGTTTGGGTCATTTTAGCATCTGCTTTGGTCATTTTAGCTACAGTTTGGGTCATTTTAGCTACTGTTTGGGTCATTGCATCTGTCTGGGTCATTTTAGCTACTATTTTGGTCATTTTAGCTACTGTTTGGTCCATTTTAGCTACAGTTCGGGTCATTTTAGCATCTGCTTGGGTCATTTTATCTACTGTTTAGCTAATTTTAACTACTGTTTTGGTCATTTTAGCATCTGTTTGAATCATTTAGCTACTGTTTGGATCATTTTAGCTACAGTTTGGGTCATTTTACTACAGTTTTGGTAATTTTAGCTACTGTTTGGGTCATTTAGCTACTGTTTGGTCATTTTAGCTACTGTTTTTGTCATTTTAGCTTCTGTTTTGGTCATTTTAGCATCTGTTTTAATCATTTAGCTACTGTTTGGGTCATTTTACTACAGTTTTGGTAATTTTATCTATTGTTTGGGTCATTTAGCTACTGTTTTGGTAATTTTAGCTACTGTTTGGGTCATTTAGCTACTGTTTTGGTAATTTTAGCTACTGTTTTTGTCATTTTAGCTACAGTTTGGGTCATTTTAGCATCTGTTTTGCTAAATTTCCTCACTGTTTTGCTTATTACGGTTTTACATATTTAGCTACTTTTGAGACTGTTTTACTGATTTTCCCTTTAGCATCTAATTTGCTAAAACATTAACATCAGTTTTTCTCCTTTTAGCTTTTAGCTACTGTTTTGTTGTTTTCTTTTTTTACTTATTTCAACAAGCTTACTTCCGTTATAATTATGTTCATGTTTGCCTTTTTTTGCTTGTTTGAACTAAAGTTGTTTTAACTCACTTTTAGCTTCTTTTTTAGCACGTTCTATGAACTCATTCAGTTTTCAGCATTCACTCTGGATTTTTGCAGAAAACGCAGTTTCTCAAGCTGCATTTTGAAACGTCTTAAGAAACTCGTCTGTAAGTTTTGACCCAAATAAGACTAAAGTATATGTTTACAAACAGTCTTTCTGTTTAAATGCCCAGCAGTGAATGATGAGCGGATATCCCTTTCACAGACCCGGCTCTGAGGTCGACCACGGAAGTCTTTAAAGCATGTAAAACATGTGATTTATACATAAACTCTAATAGGTTTTGTGGTTTCCACTCTCCCAAAATAAATCCTTCTTATCATCAGCTCCAAGCTGAGTCCCATGTTGTTGTATTTTTCCAGCAGAAACAAACAGACCTTCTGCGGCCGCTTTGTAAACGACGTGAAATGACAAAAATCAACACACGCCGCCTCTGTTCTGTTTTTAGACGCAGCGTGCGCCATAATGATAATGTGCTCTTTGAGAAACTGGTTTCCATCTCAGCTGGATTTCACTCCCACAGCAGAGGGTAAAGCTTGGCAGACACTGGACGTGAATAAAAATGGACGTTTTTACGGTTTTTAATGTTTACACAAACACCGGGGAACATCAAGCAACACGACTGTTTTGTTACAACTGTTTGGATTATTTCCTCGTATTCAGCTCAGCTCTCATGCAGCGTCCGAGTCAATCACTTCCTGGTTGACCATGCTTGTTCTAGCCTCCGTGCTAAGCTAACTAGCTCCTGGATGTAAACAGTGTTTGAGAAATAAATCAACTACCTGCTTTGCTAACTTTTAGTGGACAAAACGCTTGATGAAGCCAACAGAACCACATCGTCTGCAAAAAGGACGAATGAAATCGGACTATTTTTGTGTGCACAGCGTGCAAAACTGTATTCTAGGCCAAACATATTATTGCATTGCCCACCTCCGCCTGGTTTGTTACCACCTTGGCAGCGTTTATAATATTTTTCGACTGGCAAACACTTTTAACACGAGCAAAGATTCAGACCAGTTTATTTAAAGTTAATCAGCATCAACGTGGACATGAAAGCTCTCTAGAGTCGGACAACTCTCTGACTTTTTTATTTATAAAAACTTTGTCATGCAGATTTAAAGAACATGTTCAAAACCGGGTGGCACAGTGGCTCAGATGGCTGAGCTGTTGCCTCTCAGCAAGAAGGTTGCCGGTTCAAACCCCAGCCCGGGACCTTTCTGCATGGAATTTGCATGTTCTCTCCGTGCATGCATGGGTTTTCCTCCCACAAACCAAAAACATGCATGTTAGGCTGATTGGTAACTCTGAATTGTCCCTAGGTGTGAGTGAGAGTGAATGGTTGTTTGTCTCTATGTGATAGATTGGAGACCTGTCCAGGGCGTCCCCCGCCTCTCGCACAGTGATGGCTGGACATGGGTACCAGTGACCCGGCTACCAAAAAAGGAAGAAGCGGGAAAAGATGGATGGATGGATGGATGGATGGATGGATGGATGGATGGATGGATGGATGGAAATTAATTAATGTTGATGGTGAAAAAACATCAGTTTAGCTCTAAAGCTTTCAGTCCTTGTGTTTCACTTTTTAATTAAGGTTTTTCTGCTAAACTTTGTTGCACACGATTAAAAAAAGAGTAACACTTGGAAAACCTAATTTCTGTAAGATCAGTCTCTAATTAAAGTAAAATCTGCCCTCTTAAGATGGATATACCATATATAAACATATACATATCATTATATATATATAT